TATATTTTTAGTGCTTTTGCTGAGATGAAAATACAGAAAAATACTGTGTAAAGCGTCTTTGCTGGAAAGAAGTAGAACAGTTGACATTTTTTAAAGTAGGGCTGTACAATTTTGGTAATAATCTAAGTGACAAAAATTACAAGATTAAATCAACTGTTTAATAAAGATGTGTAGCTGCTGTTCCATCCATCCATCCATCCATCAATCCATCCATCCATCCATCCATCCATCCATCCATCCATCCATCCATCCATCCATCATCCATCCATCCATCCATCCATCCATCCATCTTAATTTCCATCCATCCATCGAAATGTCCTCCATCCATCCATCCATCCATCCATCCATATATCCATTGACCCTAATTTCCATCCATCTATCTTCATTTCCATCCATCCATCCATCCATCTATCCATCCATCCATCCATCCATCCATCCATCCATCCATCCATCCATACATGATTCCATCCATCCATCCTTTCATCCAACTCTGGTTCCATCCATCCATCCTTTCACCCAACTGTGGTTCCATCCATCCATCCATCCTTTCATCCATCCAACTATGAATCCATCCATTCATCCTTTCATCCAACTGTGGTTCCTTCCATCCATCCATCCATCCATCCATCCATCCATCCATCCATCCATCCATCCATCCATCCATCCTTTCATCCAACTCTGGTTCCATCCATCCATCCATCCTTTCCTCCATCCAACTATGAATCCATCCATCCATCCTTTCATCCAACTGTGGTTCCATCCATCCATCCATCCATCCATCCATCCATCCATCCATCCATCCATCCATCCATCCATCCTTTTATAAAATCACTTTCCGCCAATAAAAGAAAACTTCTCAGTATTAAGACAGGTGATGCAGACATTTTTTGTCATTGTATCTAATATTATATATTCATCATATAACTTCCGTCTGTTAAAAAGGCATCCATTTCACATTATTCAAGAACATAAAAAAAAAGTGTTGGTAAAGTATAATATACTGCTCATAATGAAAATCTTCACTGCTGCTGTAGTTCATAAAAACTGCAGGGATGTGGGTGTTTCCATGTTTGTGAGGAAAAATAGAGATAGAATCTAAATGTTACCATTACAATACTCTTCAGTTTCTAAGTGGCTTGGAAGAGATGTGTTTTTCTGTTTAAAAAGGCAAAGTGGGCAATAACAATGAGATAAAGAAGCTGTTCAGGGCTTTAGATTTATTTCAGTTTGAATGTGTTACATTGTCTGTATCAGCAGGACCAACACCATGTAGCACCTCTGAGGATAAGGCGATACTCGGAGAACAAGCAACTCATTTTACTGAATTTAGGTCAGCAATTTATCTCTCCACACAGAGACATTTAGTTTCAACTTTTTCCGTCAGAAGCCTTCACATGGTTGGCAGGTGATTAAACTTCAGATTGCTGCAGAAAATTTGCAATTTGCTGGGTCCTCTGTGGAGTACGTTCCACAAAAAGAGGCTGAAACGGTGAGTAAGAGGTTGGAATACCTAAATGAGAAAACGCAGCCTACCTACGTGGGTGAGTATTTATATTTACCACGTATAACTGTCATCTGGGATGCTGGTCGCTTTGCATAATCTGCTGGAAACGAGAGCAACCTGGGGCAGCTTCTGTCAATGCTTTTGTGTTTCGACAGATTTTCCCCTAAAATAAAACCAGAACGAAAGCAAATCCTGGTGATGCTACGTCATGCAATCTGTCTGATGAGTCATGCAGGTGAAAGCGGTGTTTTTGATGCCATTTAAAGAAGCAAAAACAAAACCATCCACTCCTCACAGTTGCTCTGTGGACAACTGTTTGACACTAATCAGGTTAAAATCCTGCCCACACTGTAACAAAGAACCAAGGAAGGCACATCTATTTTTAAGGGTTCTGCAGAATATATTCCCCTCACATATTTTGATATTTATCACTTTTGCACTTTATGACCGACGAGGAAATTAGGCTTTGTGGAAGCAGTGGAGTTCTGACATTTAAAAGGTGCAGAATGCATGGATTTTTTAAATTTCAACTTCCACTTGAATGCCGATGACATTTACTTCATGAACAACTGTGAACAAATGAAAGCCAGACGTTACTTTTCAACCATGTGTTAACAGAACACTCCTAAACAAAAATGATGGTACCGCTAGAAAGGAAAATAATACGACTAAAGGCATATATTAAGTCAATGTCTGTCAAATAATTACTATCATAGGTGTCTATAATCTAGTAATAAGTCACTGTGGCCGTTTCTCAATATGCGTTCTTGAGCGTTCTCGTTTGATAGTGACACGTCATCAGCCTCAGCCCAAGCACTGTTCCAATTGCCGAGAACGCCAGACTGAGAATGCACCACATCCCCGGATGTTGTCCTCGCCTCGCCCTCTTTATGGAGTATACATCAGAGCAGACTTGTCCGTTCTTGAGACTGAGAGCTGTCCGAGGACGCACTGCAGCAGCAGCAGCTTTCAATGGAGCGCTCTAGACGAGCTGAGCGTGTGGTGATGTCATCAGTACGCATCTGTTCCAATTGACCCATATCTATGCTGCGTGCTCATGTTCTCACCAAGACCAGACTTTCCTGTGTTCTTGCCAAGACCAGACTTGACGAGAACGCGAGAAAGGACTCACGT